AATAAGGAAGAAGGAAAGTTTGCACTGCTGCGTGCAGAAGCTCCTTCACCATACTGTTTCACAATCCAAATTATGCATGTTTCAACATGAAACTTGTTATCAGCATGCACATGGTACATTTTAATGGGACTGAACACATAAACAGAATAATTCAGGCAGAAATCCAGATGCAACAGCAAAAAACTAAGTAGAAATACACACAAATCGCAGGTATTCAATATTACACCTAAGTATGGAGTTACCAACGGCTAGAGATTGTTCCCACACCCCCGACTTACATCACTATATCTTCACAAGTGTGGGTTTGAGTAGCCCAAGTTTGCCAGCCAGCCACCATGATGTCCTTTGTGACTGGCACTGTATCCTTTGTTTCTTCACAGGGTTTTTCAAGCAATGTCTTATTTCCTATTTCTGTGCTTTCCTTTAGCTAAACTCTTCCAAAATGTGTTTTGTTAAAGGTGTTTGACTTCTTTCGGCTGTATTCTTCAGAATGGACAATCACAGGTCAATGGGCTAGGGAGAGGCTAGCTTGAGTACATATTTGCTAAGAGGTCTGTGATTCTCATCAAATATGGGAAGCATGAGGCCAGCTGGTGAAGGGTCTTCAAGCTCTTGGGGAGACCACTGTTTGGTCTAGGCTCTGACCCCACCAGTGTGTGTAACCTTGGGCATCTCCCTTTGCTGATCCCAGCTTCAGATTCCTCATCTGTAAAATGAAGGATTGAGCTAAAAAGTCACTGAAGGTTATTTTACCTGATACTCAAGCATGCTGTGTCATGTAAACGACCCTTTCCTCATCGATCACACTCCAGATCATTAGGTGTGGCCCCAGATAGAGCGGTTTGGAAGTGAGCTTCCAGAGACTCCAAGGTTTATTGGGGAATCGCCTCAGTCCTGTGCTACAGGTGTCTCCAGTGCAGGCACAGGTGGGTGGCAGCTGCTGTTGGGGACCAGGTAGTCATGTTTAGCTAGGGTCACTGCCTTTGTTCTGTTTCTTGCAAGCCCCAGAAATGTGTCTAGTTACTGAACCATGTGCATGGTGAATGAGGGAGGTGGACAAATGGAATCAAACAAAAACACACTTACGTACCTGGCTCTATCTTTCCCCCATCGTCTGTGGGTCTGTGTGTGTGTGTGTGCATGTGTGTGTGTGTGTGTTTCAGATGCAGTCTTGCTCTGCTGCCCAAGCTAGAGTGCAGTGGTGCAATCTTAGCTCACTTCACCCTTTGCCTCTGGGGTTCAAGTGATTCTCCTGTCTCAGCTAACCAAGTAGCTGGGACTACAGGCTCATGCCATCATGCCCAGCTAACATTTTTGTATTTTTGGTAGAGATGGGATTTTGGCATGTTGGCAAGGCTGGTCTTGAACTCCTGACCTCAGGTGATCCACCTGCCTTGGCCTCCCAAAGTGCTGGGATTATAGGCATGAGTCACCACACTTGGCCTCTCTCTACCTTTTAAGTTATATTTACATACATAAAAGTAAAAGAAATTGTGAAATTAACACTCATGTATCTATCTTCCAGCATCAACTCATGAATGGTAAACTCATTCATGATCAATCAATGATCAACTCATGGCCAATCTTGTTTCTTCTAGACCTCCAACCACTCTGCTGCCTTACTTCCCTCAGATTTTTCTTTTGGGGCTGGGGGCATTCAATTTATTTATTTTTAACAGTTATAGTGAGATATAAGTCAGAAAGCATTCAATTCACCCATTTAGAGTATATAATCCTTCCGATTAATTTTTGAATTGATAAATAAAATTGTATATTTTTATGGTATACAACACGATGTTTTGATGTGTGTATACATTATGGAATGGCTCAATCAAGTTAATTACCATATTCTTCACCTCACATATTCATCACTTTTTTTGTGGTAGGAACTTTTTCTTTTTTAAAAAAAAATGATATACAATAGTTGTACATATTTTGGAGGTATATGTGATATTTTGATACCTATACACAATGTGTAATGATCAAATAAGAGTAATTGGGATATCTATCACCTCAAGCATTTATCTTTAAAATCTACTTTCTCAGCAATTTTCAAGTATATATTATTATTATCTATAATGACCATGTAGAATCGATCTCCCACATTTATTCCTCCTCTCTAATTCAAATTTTGCTATTTATTTATTTTTATTTTTGTTTTTTTGAGATGGAGTCTTGCTCTGTTACCCAGGCTGGAGTGCAAAGGTCTGCACTCGGCTCACTGCAACCTCCGCCTTCCAGGTTCAAGTGATTCTCCTGCCTTAGCCTCCCGAGTAGCTGGGATTACAGGCATGTGCCGCCACGCCCAGCTAATTTTTGTAGTTTTAGGGTTTCACCATGTTGGCTCGAACTCCTGACCTCAAGTGATCTTCCCACTTCAGCCTCCTGAAGTGCTGGGATTACAGGCATGAGCCTCCGTGCCTGGCTGTCTAATTCAAATTTTGTATGCTTTGACCAACTCCTCAGATTCTGTTGAAGTACATCCCAGATATCAAACAATTTTATCCATACGTATCTCAGCGTATCCTCTAAAAGACAAGGATTCTCCTTTAAAAATAGAACCATGATATTATTATCCCACCAAAAAAGTTATTTCTCAACACCATCAAATATCTAGTCAATCTTTATATTTCCTTAGTTTCCTATAATTTAGAAGCTTGTTTATTTGAGTTGCCTGGACCTATCTGTTAATGTTAATAATGTTCCTGATAAAAACTCTTCCCTCCAGCCATATTGGTCCACTAAATGTCCTTCTGAAAACTGAATACATCCACATCTCTGGTTCTACAGTGCCCCTTCCAACCCTTCACCCCTGAGCATCCATCTCTTTTCTACCTTTTAAAATCCCTTGTAATTTTTAAGGCATGGTTAAAACCACACCATGCTCATAAGAAGACCTCCTAATCATCACCCCAAGAAAGAGAAAGACCTCTACCTCAACCCTAGAGTATTTCATGTTTTGCTTCAGTTTTTACATTTATTGCCTGGTAGAGTTGATTGGTTTTCTACATAGACAAATTAGTATTCCAGTTTGATTTTAAGTTCTTTGTGTGTCGTGACTTGTAGTTTTTTGAATTTCCCTACAAGTATTAGCAAAGTGTTTTAGATATAATAGGTGTTCAAAGTGCCCACTGATTGATTACGTTTTGCCAGCTACAGGCACAAGGACTTCTCTCGTGAGAAGTGATGAGCTAGATTCTTACGCTCCTTTGTAAATACTCTAACCACATTATGAAAATAATTTTTCCAGCTTAAAGACTCATTAGGAAACTTGGGTAGGCTGTGTGGGAAGTTGTTCAGAAAAGGCTCTTCCCAAAGAAAGCAAATTTGTGAGGTCTGAATGAAAGAATGGACGTCCAGCCTTTGGGGCAATGGATATGGGAGGGCTAAAGACAGGCATCCATCTGGTCATACTGACTGGATCAGCAGTGTGAAACGTAAGTCTAAGGCATCTCTTCAGCTGGTGAGAAGTTCAAGGAAATTCAGAAAGAGAATCCATTAAATTTGAGTGTGTGGCAGAAGATGAGAGATCTATCTTGTTTTCCATAATATAATATCGAAACCCCATTGGGGGTATATCACCAGTATAACCACATCGTAAACCCCATCTCAAACACATCACTCCATTATCATCAGTATAACCACATTGTAAACCCCATCTCAAACACATTTTCTGAATGATGACAACCTTCAGTAATTACAGAATGGCTAGAAACCAAAGGATGTTCTCTAACACACACACACACACACACACACACACACACACACACACAGAGAGAGAGAGAACAAATGTGTGTGCTTGTGTACTTGCATTGGTAGTGACGGGTAGAGGCACCTGAGGCCTCAATTAAAGGGGAGTGGTAAGAGAAAGAGAGCAATATATACATTTAAGGGCAGCAGGATGCCAGGGACTTTCTACCTTGCCCTCACCATTCTTTGGAGACTTACTAATGTGCCTTCAGAAAGCAGTATTGCTTCATTAGGCAGAAGTCATATGATTTTCTTACAGACCAAATAAAGAAGACCATTCACAGATTTTCTTTTTTCTTTTACAAGATTCAGAGGAGACATAAGAGAGTCTTCATCAGCACAGAGTAGAATCAACTTTTAATTATTTACATCTTATCCAAATTATAAGATGCATATTATATACTCTTTGTTACACATGTTGCTATACTTCCTCTGAAAAGCACTGTCCCAGGATCTGGCTCAAGTCTTATTAAGATCATTCAGAATGGGATGCACAATAAATATTTGATGGCATTCTTCCTACAGTCTTTTGGAAACCAATTTTGAAGAGCCCCAGGGTGTTAACAGTGATCAAATTATGAAACAAACCATTTTTTCACTTGCAACAGAAAGTTCCTGGCTCCTTGAACAGGAATGAGGTAAAACTCTGAGGTCACATCAGACTACCTCTCACAAAAAGGCTGTTGTGTCTGTACCTCTTGTGTGCCAGAAGGCAGATGAAGAGCACAGACAAATCTGAGGATAAAACATGCCCTTGTATCAAATAAAAATATGTTTAAAAAGTCTGCCTGAAGAGATCTTGAGAACAAAACTATCCAGATTCTTTAAAATGTTTATTCAAATTTGTAGGTCAAGGTGAAATGGTTGTGGGCCAAGGTAGTTTAGAGGAATGGTACAAATAAGGCAATTAACATAGAAAGGCTTTTGAATAGAATCTAATCAGCAAAATTCACAGGAGTATTTAGAACTAATTATAACATATCTGTTAGAATAATTATCTGAAGTCACAACTGATATTATAGTTATTTAAATATCAATTACCATCGCAGATTTTGCAGTTATCAGTAAAAGCTACACAGTCACATCAACATTTCTTGAAGCTAAATTTATAATCATTATAAAACTTGGAACTTTTACTATGCCCCAGAGCTTTATAAAATGAGAGACACAAGCCACTTGTTGCTGTTGCTACGAGACAAATGTTTATATCACACATTTCTATAGAAGGAAGAAAAATGACAGGTTCTTACCAAGTAATCATCAGGCTTGATACCAAAAAGTTCTCTGAAATATCGGAATGCTAATGGAGCGTATGTCTTAAATCTAAAGTCTGGGTAGTGATGTGCTGGGGTCAGATTGCTCCCTTCGCTGAAGTCAAAATATTAAAAAGAGAGAAAGAAAGAACACATTAGCAAGGACAATTTTGACTGCAAATTCTAGCTCTATTAGTCCTGGGCCAATGTTACCTCTAGAAAAATCATCCCCTGAGAGTGGGTTTCTCAAAGTTCATGTCATAAAGGCCAATGATCACCAGGTAGAAACAGATGCTAGTTAGTGAGGGTCACTCTGTCAATCAGTGTCACAAGCCTGAAAATTCATTTATCTTTTTGTGCTTTCTTCCTGGGAAGATCACTCCATTATCACCAGTATAATGACATTGTAATGCTTTGGGTAAAAGATCTAGGCCTTAGAGTGTGGAGCAATTTCAAAAATGCATTTTTTTTAACCATGAAGTTTGGATATTTGGCAAACATTGTTAACCAGGGATAAGTGAAATTAATTCTTAAAACATCCTACCAACAAAGAGAACCATCACACGGAATAGGACTTCAATCTGAACTCTTATTTACACTTTAAAAAAAAGAGACCTTACATATTTAAAAAATTTAAAACCTGATTTCCATTCTCCAGTATATCATTGTCTTCTTTTCCTTTTTCTGGGTTCGTTTTGAAAAATTATACACAATACTTATGATACATAAAATGTACAAAGAATAAACCAGTGCATATCAATGAATCCAAAATGCTGCTTAAGACATAAAACATTATCTATACAGCTGAATCCCCTTCTGTACTTTTTTTTTTTTTTTTTTTTTGAGACAGAGTCTGGCTCTGTCGCCCGGGCTGGAGTGCAGTGGCCGGATCTCAGCTCACTGCAAGCTCCGCCCCCCGGGTTTACTCCATTCTCCTGCCTCAGCCTCCCGAGTAGCTGGGACTACAGGCGCCCGCTGCCTCGCCCGGCTAGTTTTTTGTATTTTTTAGTAGAGACGGGGTTTCACCGTGTTAGCCAGGATGGTCTCGATCTCCTGACCTCGTGATCCGCCCGTCTCGGCCTCCCAAAGTGCTGGGATTACAGGCTTGAGCCACCGCGCCCAGCCCCCTTCTGTACTTTTTACTGGTCAGATCCATTGAGGAATCCACTGGCCTAAATGTTGATGTTTATCAGTCTCATCCTTTTTATTCTTTGACTCCATACAGTATTACCTAATACATGAGCTCAGTCAAACCACCTAAGCCACTCATTCTCAAATTTTTCAGTGTCTTCATTGTTAAAATTTTCAGAAAAATTAGAACAATGCAATAGAATTTTATGTAAAGGTTCAAGATCCCTTTGATCTACATTCTAGGTGGGACATTAAGAGCCTACGCAAGTTTATCATGGTCTGCTTTTTATGGATACCACACAAAAAGGACTGGGCAAATGACAAAGACTTTCAGCACAGAATAAACACTTTGGATCTACTACAGTTTAAGTTGTTGAGATCAATCAGATTCTTGCATCAATGCCTGGCACATAGCAGACACTCAATAAGTATTTGTTGAGTGAAAGAATGAGTCTTCAACATAATGCTAATAGAGAAGATGTGATTTTTACATGGAAATTACATTAGAAAATCAATGTGTAAGGCAGAAATTCAGCATAGTCACAGGTCACCCTTGAAAACTAGGAAGTATCTATTCAATATATCATATGCAACTAGTTTTTCCTCCTGCACGATTACCGATGACTGTTTTGTTTTTTTGTTGTTTTTTTGCTGAGTATCAGAGGACGGAGCTGGCTTGTGTTGTTAGGGGTTAGCACCATATAATAAATGGTTATCTTGAAAGGCAGGATTACACTCAGGCAGCAGCAAGGCTACACACTAGGAGAGTGATACAGGGACTAAGACTGCCTGAGAGAAGAGCAGTCACATTGTAAGGAATGACCCCCAAATCATCTGCTCCTTTAAATGGTTATTGTTTCTCTAAGCAAGCATAGTTGAATATTTAGTACTAATGTATGATGCCCTGGTGCTGTATCCAACCATTTTCTCTTTCTATATTTTGGGATTTAGGAGGGGATTCGATCCCATGGGACTGTCAAAAGGAATGATTCTGAAACGTATATGGCACGTGATAATTTATTAATATAAATGTAGATTATATAGAAATAAAGGGTAAAAGCAAAGAGGCTCAAAGAGACCTATAATATCCTTCGTGACTCAATTTTGCAAGCAAGTAAAAATAACCACAATGCCTTAGGTTTTGAAGCAGGCTGCTTTCAGTGGGCTAAGAGCGTTGCCAATTTCTTCTCTCTTTTTCACCTATCTCATACAAAGGAACTCATTCTATTGGAGCAGATTTCCTTCAACATTCAAAGAGGTAAGATAAAACACCCATGTTCCACTTAAATGGAGTTTCTCTCATATTTTTGCAGTTTTGGGCCCAAGATTTTATCAGAGAGGATGCTGCATTTACTATTATTATTTTCATTTTGGGTTAGTTCTGAGCTCCTTGGATTATTCATCTTTCCCTGAAGTTTCCATTCATTATAAAAATTTTCCTTAGATTCACATCTCTGTGACTACTGTGATTTATTCAGTTATGGTGTAAAAATGATAGTGTTAGGTTTCCCTGGAGTGAGACAGACACACAAACACATGTTCACACATACACACAAGAATGCTCATGTACACACAGCAGAGCAGCTTCAGGTAGAGAACAGGAACCTTTATTTCCTTAGGCATACAGAAATAATAATAGGTATTTGGTGGTTTAAAAAACCACTAAATCATTTCATGAAAAAGAATTAAATCTAGGTAGCTTTGGGCCATATTAAGATACAGAGAAGTATCGGCCAACTGTGAGGCAGGCTTACCTACATGGGACAATCAAGAAAATAGATTTGTGTAAACAGAGAAAATGAAAAGGAGTGGGCATAATACTTAATGGAGGCATCATACAGAATGGATGTAGCTTCACGGTGTAATTAACATATAGGAAGTAACAATTAATTGCTGAGGTTACACAATCTTGAACCTCTGTATTTGTATGAATGGAAAGGAAAATTCTCATATAGTGGCTTCTATAAATTAGGTTCATAGTACATCACAACTCTTTGTTTGTTTTCTCTCCTAGGAGATTTTATTTTATGGCTTCTATTTTCCTTTGGTTAATATTAAGATTGGGCTGTACTCTCTTAAGTCCTACTGGATACACTGTGTGGTAGCTAAGATGGTGGATTTTATAGTCCAGGGAGACCTCGGTTCAAGTTGCCTCTGTAATTTACAAGCTGAGTTTCACCAGGCCCAGTACGGAACCTCTACAAATTAAGTGGCTTAGTACATGAAAAGGTGAAAGTTAAAGTACTTTGAATGCAGGGAGCCATCAACACATTTGGATGATTGAGGCTATATAGGAAACAGCCCTGAGCCAAACACTTCACATGAGGAATGTGTTGAAAATGTAGTTAAAAAGAAAAATAAATGACAAAATGGGAAAATATTTACAACTCATATCACAGACAATGGGCTAATCTCCTAATATAAAGAGCTCCAATAAACTGCATAAAAGTCCAAAAAGTCCAGCCAGGGCAATATGGTGAAACCCTGTCTCTATGAAAAATACAAACATTTGCTGGGCATGGTGGTGCACACCTGTAGTCCCGGCTACTTGGTGGGCTGAGGCAGAAGGATCGCTTGAGCCCAGGAAGTTGAATGTGCAGTGAGCTGAGACTGCGTCACTGCACTCCAGCCCGGGCAACAGAGCAAGACCCTGTCTCAGAAAAAAAAAAAAGATCAAAAAGTTAACTTAAAAAAATAGCTGAGGATACGATCAGGCACTTCACAGAAATGAAAAGATATGACTCAAACATAAGATGCTCAACCTCATTCATAAAATAAATGTTACTGAGAGACATTTTACCTGGAAGACTGGTGAAAATCCACAACTGTGATATAGCTTGAGGAGAATTGGTATTCTGAAATATTGTTAGTGGGAATGTAAATTGAGATATTTTTTCCCATAAAGGACATTTTCACAACTGCTATCAAAATTACAAACATGTAACTCCTTGATCCAGCAAATACATGCCTATGTTGTTCTATGGATAAACTAGCATTTGTCCAAAACAATATATGTGAACATGGTTACTCATTATGGCAACCTGGATGGCCTTCAGGAGAGGACTCTAATTAATTATGATTCAGCTACACAATGGAATTGTATGCGGTATTAAGAAAAGAATAAGAGTGCTTATTACGTACTGACATGGCAAGATCTCTACGATAATCTCTACGATAAATTGTTAAGTGGATGAAACGATGCAGAATGCTGTGTATGGTATGTCACCACTTGTATAAAAAAGAAAACAAATATTCTTTTGGCACGCATATTCATAAAAAATCCTTGAAGGAAAAACAAGCCACAAGCAACAGTGATAACTGGAGTTGGACACTGAAAAAAGGCACAGGGACAAAAGAAACTTTTCACAGTATTCCTTTTAAGAACAGGACAAACCTTGCTATGTATTATCATTCACAAAATTAAATAAATTTTAAAAGTTAGAGGTTAAAAGCCATAAACTGATCCCTCTTCCTCCAAATAGAGCCCTCCATGCTCAGCACCACAGCAGAAGGTTTGTTTACCTCCGCATATTTAAGCTGCTCCAATGAATAACAAATACCAGCTTGACATGAATGAAGTCTAGTGAAGGAAATGCAAATTAATGAGATCGCTGGCCCCTGCTGGGCCTGGATATTTGTCAGGGGAGCACGAGTGCAGAGAAAACAGCAAGTCCAGTGAAGGTCAGCCAGCAGGCAACAACCTTGGTTCTCTGAGGCCTCACGCGGGCACATTTACTGTGTGTAGATGTGGGTGCCAGCCCACAGACGTTCCCCACAGAATCTCCACAGCACAGGTACCAAGTGCTTAGCAACTTCCAGCATGGCAGAACTGCCAACATTCAAACACAAGGACTGCAATCAACATTTGCCTGCTGAAGTCCGCAGGCTTTCCTTGCCTGAGACTGGGGTTACCTGTTGGGTAATTGTGCTCAGCATCCAGACTTAGCAAAAATGAAGTCAGAAAAAGAGTAGACCTCCTAACAG